CGTTGGAGGTTTGGCCAGAAGACCTCTGGCCGAAAGTCCTGCCACGCTTATCGACGACACTGCCGGAGGCAAAGGGGGGAGGTGTCAGACTGTCAGGTTGAGTCATCACATGTCCTCACATGTTCTCAGTGGGGCTTTTTCGACTTTCGAGACGCAGCAAAGTTATCCTTGCCTAGCGAGCTATCAAGAAACGCGGCGAGCGAAGCTGCCGGCCTATTGAATAGGCACTCGGGTCCCATCGGGTGCCCGGCCATCTTGATGGTGAGACACGTCCACACACTATATCTGTTCTCAGTGGGGCGGAGAGTACAAAGAGAAGAGAACGCAGAACGGAGCTGAGAACTGAGAGAAGAGCTGAGGGTCTGTGAGGTGCTGATGCAGCCGGAGCACTCCGAGACCTTCACGGACAGTCAAAGAATGTAACACAAAGGGGGAAGTCGAAGGATGGAGAAGGTCCATGGAGGAAAACAGTCGTTTCGAGGCCAAACATCCACAAACATCGTCTGCACTTGCCTTCTCAACCTTCTTGCAAAACTCTCCCAGCCTCTTGAGGATTGCACAGAGCTGCCCATAGTGACGTGCGCAGGACTATACGCCCAGCGGCCCTTTCTCGGTGCCCAAAACCAAGTCTGTGGGCGTGGGGGAGAAGGTCCAGGATCCAGCGCTGCCCTCGGTGCTTTCTGCTTCCCCTCTCCCATCCCCTGCCTGTCTCCCCATCCCTTCCCGGAACCAGAAAGTGCCACGAAGCCTCACCAATTTTCGGATCAGATGCTCACACTCAGGACTTCGTGGATCAAGTCATGTATAGCTGCGGGTCCTCGGCCCCCAAGACCTTCAAGCAACGAAGGCGAACGGGGCAAGGCACTGCATCACAAATCAGCTCATCTGCCAGAGCTGTTTGAGCCTCGAGCCCGAAGTTGCCTTAGTTGAGTAGAGAGAGAAGCCAAGAAACTTATCGCCAAAAAAAGAAAAAACAGAAAACTCCTCAGAACTTAGAACCCACTCCTCTCTCTCAGTAAACAACATCTCTCTCTCTCTCTCTGTCTTTGAAACGGGCGCCATGCTCCGAGCCCTGCTTCTGAGTCTGCTGCTCCTGCCCGGCCACCCAGAGGGTCTTTTTGAGACTGACAGAGAGAGGGAGAGAGAGAGAGAGAGAAGAGGGAAGGAAGGAAGGGGTAGCCTTAAAGGAATATCAGAGACAAGGAAAATCGAGACTTCAAGTTGTTCCCCTTTGTGAAGATTCTCTTTTCTTCCAATTTCCCGAATTTTTGAGGCCTGCATCCGCCGGCTGCTGCGACTGCGCACGGCGGGAGGGGAACGATTGCAAGGATGGTGTAGGCAAACACCGCCGGCAGCGCATCTTCTGCACGGAACAGACCACCGAATCTTGGCTCTCAAATACTACACCTGTTGGAATATGAAGCACGTTAATCTGTCAAATCTCCTCCTGCTCTTGACGATAGTGCTTGTGGCAGTCTTAGCAAGAACTACAAGCTCTTGCCAGCTGTTCAGATCAGATCACGCATAGTAATTTTGAATGTATGAAAAGGTGTTCGGTGTAACTGTGCTTAGCGTCTTACATTGTGAAGCCGCACGGCTTAACATGTTAATCATCGATATGTTGCTGCTAGTCGGGCGGGGGATTGCACGAGCTGTAACTTCAATGCAGTGCGATGCCGTTCCCGTGCATTCTTTCCACTTAGAAAGCTTGAAAAAGCTTGAAAGCATCGATTGTTCACACGGCTTCTGCCCTGACACGCTCATCTCCGGTCGGTTCTGTTCTCCCGTGGATCTTGTTCTTTCCCCTTTGGTTTGTTAGAGGCGAGGACAGAGGAAGGGGTTTTTTGGAGCTTCTTGGGGTTCTTGGGCCGAGGAAGGCTTGTGCATCACAGCCGGCGGCCGGACTTGGGTGGGCCCTGGCACCTGCCGCTGGACATGCGCACAAGAGGAGGAGAAGACCGACCTCTGAATCCGCAGCTGCCGACCCCGACGAAGCGGTCAGCGCGACACTAGAGAAGGGATGAGACAGAGGGACTGAAGGACCTCTTCGCGCGCACGGCGCCCGATTTGTATACGGTATCGGCGACATCACAAAGCCAGCTTTGTCAGCGCTGATCTGGCGCGCCCTGTAGCTGCACAAACTTGCAGTAAGAGCGCACGGCAGTCTGACCCTGACATACGCAGTGATGCAGAGGAAGGAAAAGAACATTTGTGCCAACTGCGCATCTCGCTGAGTTTAAGATATCAGTCTTTGACATGGAGAATGTCACGCGTATTCCGGTTCCTGTGTCGCTCACGACATCTCACGACGGATGTGTGTTGAACTCTCGCAAGGGCGCGCGACACTGGCTGCATGAATTGCGCAGCATCTGCTCCGCATCAGCTGTGGGAGGCAATGCACACATGCATACAAAAAATGTAGAAGGTGTCCGAGACATGGTGAGTTTGTGGGTTGATATTCAGAGAGCACGGGTACTGAAAAGTGGCTTGAAGAGGCATCAGAGGGCATGGTGCACCTCCTCACCGACCTAGTTCTTGGCCGAGTTTTCAGCGCGTCCGCGTCGGTGTGAGAGAGATTTTGTTTCATTGAGCCGCTGCTGAGGCCAGCTTCGCAAGTTCGGTGGGCTGTGAGGCCAGCCCCTTAGTTTCTTTTCAAATCGTGCTTGGGAGAGCCCCGAACATTCCAAGCTCGAATTTGAGCAAGCTGCCCGCAGACCTTGCTCGAATCATGGCTTGCCAATCCTGCTCTCGGTCTGGAAATATGTAAAGCTATTTGAATAGAATCCACCAATCCTCTTGAAAAGCTCATAGCAGGATTAAGCTTTCGAAAAGGCGGCATGGCTTTTGAAACTTTTGTACCTTGTTTGGCGCGTTCGAGGCGAAGTTGGAGCAACTGGCAGACCTTGTGCCCAGCCTGGCCAAGGACCCCCCCCAGCAGATATTCCGTGTGTTTCATGTCAATCTGAGACCAAGTTGAAGCCTTCTTTCAAGGCCTTTGCATGTTCTCAGTACCGCTGGGGCCCGAGCGGCCTTGAGTTTCAAAGCTCCTGCTTCTACGCGCCCATGTGTCTGCGTCTCGTTGCCGAGGCCATCACCACCTCTTCAAGCAGCGAGTCTGTGAGCGACTGCCAGAGCTTAGCAAGGCTGGACTTGAAGCCAGCGAGGAGAGGCCAAACTAGACCAAAGTAGATCAACTCACGCAGATTCGTATGCAGATGTCCTGTCGTGCTGGAGACGATGCCTCGAATTCCATTGAACTCCCAGTGTGCTGGAGTGTCAAAACATTCGCCAGGCTTTGGGAGCCCGCTTAGTACCCCATCTGCCGGAGCTGCTCCGCACCGTGGCTACCTGTGCCGGGCAGGCACGTCAAACGTCCCTCAGAAAGGCAGAAAAGGCGACATAGGAAGACTTTTTGAGATTGGTTGCGAACCACAATAACGTGCTGGTGAGACAGGCAGCGCACCGCGCCTTGAAGCAAGAAGCTTCGCAGGCACATGCCACAAGTAGCATCGGGAGCAGGGAAGCACCGTGCACTTGTGGCACAGTTGTGGCACAGGTGCTGCGCTGCTGGAAGGAAACGCCACCAGCTTGGGATTTCCAAGTAGGCACAGTAAAGGGGGACGCAGGAGATGTAAAAGAGTGCTACTCAGCTACTCCGAGACCGGAGAGCCAAGAGGTCCAACCGCAGGGCATGCACACCATGCAACAAAGTAAGGCTGAAAAGAGATACCACTGGAGTCAATCGAGTCCGAGCAACACCCGGAAAGAAAGCAAGAAGCCAACACTGGGCCTACACCTCCTACTAGTAGGGTTCTAGAGATGGTGTACCTGAAGCTGGGCACGCAACAGCAGATCCAGAAACGCTTGTCTAGGACCTACGGATCGAAGGTTCAATTGCTGTTAAAGCGTTGAAGACAATGCAAGGTGTGGGACACTAGTGGGACACTAGTGGGACACCTAGGTTTCAATAAGTTTAATGAAAACCCGCACGGCCTCAAAACGCCTCACAAGGGCTCACAAGGGGGTAGGGGCGCCTCGAAGTGGCTCTTTGACGCCAACTTTGCCCAGGTTCAGGGAGCCCGTGCTCGCACGCGCCTGCCAGGATGCCTCCTTGGATGCAAAGGCACCTGCCCCCGGCAAGCGAACTCAACAGCAGTACTAGTAGCTTCTGAGCAAAATTTATTCCAGGACTCTCCGTGGAGAGCTGTTGTGACACCGCCCCCCAAAGCCTGAGGGGGGCAGTTGGGCGATCGCGATGCATGAATCCCTCATCTTGCATGGCGATTAAGTGCAAGAGAGAGTTCATCGTATTTCAGTCATGCTCCTTACACTTGTTTCATCTGCTTCCACCAGAGCTGAGAGTGTAACCGATGTTGGAGTCAGAGAAAATCTTTTCACTCCAATGTAAACTGGTTCAGAACTTCAGAACAGTTTTTCGCCTAGTGACAATGCAAATGCGTTCTCTTGAAGTTAAGTACAAACAGCAGCTGTTTTCAAGTACCGTGTCTCTTGGCTTAAGTAGGTGATCATGAAGAGAGTGCACGATCTGCTTCTGCATGCGCTTCGTTGCATATACTTCCTCTCGCTCTCAGTCTCTCCCGAGCTCCCCTCCTTGGTGCCGAGTGCCTCTCAGCAAGGTGCTGCAAGCCGCAGACGGAGCGCGCTGACAGCTATTCTTCGGAATGCTTCGGAGATCCGGCATCTGTGGAATCAACAATGATCAGCTCCTAGCGGCTCTAGCGGTCTCGCGCTGATCCCATCTGATCCCGATCATGGATCCCAGTTCCAGGCACATTCACAGAAAGCACAGCCTCCATGTACCTCTACGTACCTCTACGTCCCACTCGCGTCCCATTGCTCGTGCACAGAGGGGCTATGGTTCACGGTAGAGACACGCTTCCACAAGTGGAGCAAAGCAGATGAGGGCGAAAAGGCTTGAGTGGTTTAGATCGGCGGGAAGGCCGTGAGTAAGAGTGATTTTCGAGACTGCCAGTTGTCAGGGAAAGGGAGCGCGACCACTTGGTGCAGGGCTTGGCAAGCAGCCGCCTGAGTCGATGAGTTGAGCTTTTTGCATCTTCTTGCCGTTTCATGCCATTCCTGAGACAATGGGCCAAGGTGAGGCGAAGGAAAGTGAGAGACGAGCTTCAGCTGCCACTGCCACCCCGGCACTCGACCAAGTCGATCATCTGGCGCGCCCACCTGCCGCACCCCTTATCCGATCCGGTATCACGCGTATCACTTTGGATGTCCTGGGTTTTTGGTTCGAACATGTTGTTGAGAGTTGAACCTTTTGGCCACATTTTGCCTTGTCGCACTCTCTTGGACGAAGCTCCTCTTGGCTCATAGGCTGGGACTCGTGTACCATACACAGCCGAATGTCGAGCTTTGTTGCTTTCTTCTCTGGGGCGGACAAGTATGGGCGATGGGTGCCTGAGAGCGAGATCACAGCCTCCGCCTATCTGGGCGGGGCTACGGTGGATTTCTCTCAAGCCCTATTCCAGCACCCGGCTTCCAGGTTGCAATGAAGTTGTCGATTTCGGGTCTTTCTGGAGTTGTGCCCATGCCGGCGCACTCGCAGGTGATCACCATCTCAAGCACGGCCTTCATGGGTGCTGTCACGCTCATCGTCCCTCCTGCGTTGGCAGTAGAGCAAGATGGCGCGGCCATATTTGGAGGCCCGCAATCATTGAAACACACTAATTCCATGGATACATCTGCTTGGCCCCATCTCAGGTTTTGGGGACAATGGAGGCCGGGCATCAAGGGAAAGAACCAGGAGAGAAGGAACGAATGAAGAGAAGTGTGCCGAGCGCAGAAGAGAGGGGGAGAGTGAGATATGATTGAGGTGAGGATACAGAGAGAGAGAGCCTGAGAGAAGAAGAAGAAGCAGAGTCGGCTGAACATTCGTGACAAGACGGAGGAGACTTCTGGCTGAGCGAGCGATAGTCGCCAAGAGCATGTGAACACACCCGGGGCAACGCGCAGGTATTTGGTCCAGCAGTCAGAGCTCTGGACTTTCTGGCCGGGCACCAGTGACTCTTCGTGTTGTGGGCACTGCGCTGATGGGCAGAGTCAATGTTGTCGTGAACCCAAGGACGGGGACGGGGGGGGGGGGGGTGGAGGGAGGCGCCAGTCACGGTCCTGTTGCACTGTTCGGACTTGCAGGGCCCCACCTGCGCAGCTGCTGAGCCCGGAGGAGGCATCAAAAAAACATGCTGAACTCAGTCATCGCATAGTTGAAGGGGTTGAAGCTTGTTCCGTCGCTCGAGGTTGCGAGGATCCTGCGCGAAGTCCCGGCGACCCCTTCCACCACAGTCTCGGACCTGCTGGGCCAAGCCTTGAATCAGCAGGCCACCCCTTCCACAATAAGTTGCTGTGGGATGCTGACAGCAGCTTTGAGAGAGTGGGTGCGCTTGTCGTACTTTCAGGTGGCTTACTCAAACCGCACGCAGCGGCATGTTGATGCTTCAAACATATGTGTTGCACAGGGCCATACTGGCCCATAGGAGAGATTGTGAGATTGTCGGCAATGGGGAGTCAAACGATACTGTTCGTTGGCACCCCGCGCGGAGTGATTGCAGTTGGGCGTCTTTGGGAGGTAAGGGCGAGGTAGCGAGGTATGGCGAAGTGCAAGTCAAGAGCAGCAAATATTTTTTCAGAGAGACCGGCATGCACATGCCTCCTGATTTTGTTGCAGATCGTTGCGCATGCTTTCATTTGCCGAAATCTGCTGAAATCTGCTGAAGCATTCCGAAGCTGAGCCTGTGATGATCTTCAGGCGCAGGCCAGCGGTAGCTACCCACAGCCAGACCCGAGGCAAGCGCTGCTACAAGGCCAGGGCAGGAAGACATTCAGGGGTCCCGGAGACACATGACGTCACATGACACATGACTGCACCGCCTTGTCGCCTCATTCTTCACTTAAAGTGCCTCTAAGTCGATTTCTTCATCTCTCCCACGTCGCGCAGTGTCAGAATTGTCACAATGTGTCGTGCAGAGGCTTGGCAGCCAGCGCCGGCGCCGCGGCCACTGCCAGCGCTTCTCCTCCCTCAGCAAGTTCCACGAACAGCGCCAGCAACACCACGCCGGCTGTAGTGCAGGGTGTCCCCGTGAGTGCTCCAAATTTAAAGGAGCTGGACTGAGAGGCACTGCAAAGCACTGCCCTAATGTGACTAATATGTGTTTGGCAGATTCCAGTAGGAAATCCCAGTGTGGCTAAGCTACTGCTCTTCCTGCGTGGCAACTGGCCGTTAGGGCTAAGGCGCAGTCTTGCGGGCGAGGGCCACTTTGCACTCGGCAGTGTACAGAGAGAGAGAGTCACTGCACAGATGCTCCGACTGCCTGAGTGTGATGGCAAATGCTCCTCTTTTGAAGACACCTTCTGAAGGCAGGCGCTCCGAGTTTCTTTTGCAGAAGGTACTCCTCAGTTTCTTGTTTGCCAGACCTGCAGCTGTATTTATGTTGTTGACTTCCGTTTTGTTGCCAGTCGTACTTTAATTTGGCTGCTGTGGCTGGTTCCAGCGATTTCACACCCGACTTCCATCAGTGTATCTCTGTTCTTGCGATGTGTGGTTTGTTTCCTTCGAATCCATGCGAGCACAGGCTCTTTCCCTGACAAAGACACAAAACGATAAGCCAAGTAACAGCAGGAACACCATCCAATTAAATGGAGTGTTGCTCTTCTTGCTTCACGCCACAACCTGTTCGACCATACATCCCGCACCTCTGTGTAAACCTCAACCAGCAGTCGTTTCTGATACGCTTTTGACCAGGCCACATTGCATGTTTGGATGTGGTGTTTTTGGTTTTCCCCACCCTCGGTGTGGGGCTGTTAGATGTTAAACTCAACTTTTCTCCTCGCCCGGAACTCTTCCCGGTCTACTCCTCGCTCATCCCCTGTGTCCTTGGAGTGCCCATTGCCAAGTGTTTTTGGAGTGTTTAACCCATTTGGAGTGCCCACCCCCAGGTGTCCCTGCCTGGAGTACCCAACCCCAGAGTATCTCTACCCAGAGAGGGTGAACACGTTCGAAGCAAAATATTTTTCATCAGTTTCATCATGTCTGGACCTGGGTTGCGTGTGGAGATACCCACTCGCCTCCTTCGTGTGAGCTCGAGCAGTGGAAGCTGGGATGAGCTTCACGTTCTCATCACGTTCTCAAGGTTCCTGGGCAGATAGCGGGGCCTTGATGTCGGCCTTGAGAGGGACAGCTTGCAATGGTTTTGAGGCAGAAGTGATGTGAATCTCATCCCTGCGCAGAGCGACGCGCCCCTGAACTTCTCCCCTCGTACAGAGGATGCGGAGGAGGCTGGGCTGCCTATAGCTGCTTTTCGAATGGCTGTGGGATGCTGTGGGTTCACCCCCAATCCAATCAGGGTCCGAGAAATAGAAGAAGTGATGAAGCGGACGCACGATCGGATATCACCGGTATGAGGCGATGCAAAACTCAGAACTCAAAGATATCAAAGGGCCGAAAAGCACGCTGACCTCGTGAACTCTGAGATGCTCTGAGCCACAAGGGGGAGGAGAAAAAATGCAGGGTCCAGGCCGTTCGTGCCGGTCGGCGGCTTCGGCGACCTACCCCATCTTGCTCTGGATGTTCTTGACACACGGTTTGGGGAGTAAAATGCTTACCGAAAATTCTTGAACCACGGGGGAGGAGGAAAGAAGCAGGGGAGCAACAGGCGCCATAATTTGAGCCAGCTGAGAACCGGGAACCTCATGGAGAGCGCCTCTTGACCCAGACTAGAAGAACATTCACATGTGGCAAACTTCTATTGAACTTTCTTGCGACAGGAGGAAAGCCAGCCCTACCAACTGTTGGACTCGGCTCAACATGGGCAGGCAGCCGGCATGCCTTCTCCGCCTCTTCAGTCTTCATCCTGTATAGTCTGTGCTCAGTTCCGCTCGAGTCCTTCAGACGGAACCCTTTGCCCAAAGTAGCAAAGAAGCGCTCGCTTGTGAACTGGGGGGTCCCTCTCGCCTCGGCCCTCGCTGGCCCGCATCACTCGTCTTCCCATGTGCCTCAGAAACTTCACTGAGCCCACCTGTGCAGGACCTGATTGTCTCACACACCAGCAAAGACCAGGCCGGGGTGAAATAAGCCACTGCTCCAGTTTAGTCCTCCCTGGGTCCCTTCTGGCGACTTCTAGGCGAGTGTGAGCCCGACGAAAGCCAAGGAAGAATGGTGGGACGCACAGGGGATGCATGCCAAGTGCGTCCGTGTGCATCCATGTGCTTTCTGCATGCGCTCTCGTGCTCTCTAATGAATTTCCAGAGCAGGGCTGCTTCTTGTGTGCTGAGGTGGAAGTTGCAGCGGCGTGAAGATGAGGAGAAACGGCTGACAGAGCAGCAACACCTTGTGGAGCAGAGGCCGTGGCGGACAGGGTGCTAAGGATGCCAAGGAACATCAAGGAACAGGGAGGTTCTGCAAATGTCTGCAAGTTCTTGTGCTGCTCTTCCAGGGCGCAGGCAGCGAGGGAGACAATCCTGGCCAGCTCCACGAGCTCCGCAAGGGAATCTGCAAGGGAATCCGCAAGGGAGGCGCAGAGAGAGCACGGAGCGTTGTTCATAGAGAGCACACGGGCAATCGATGCAGTCAAAAACAGTCGATGCAAAAAGCACGATGCAAAAAATGAGCAACGCTGGAGGAGAAGGAGGAGGATGCCAAAGAGCCCTCGCGTGTTTCTGAAGCCGTTGCGACACCCGTTGTGACGGTGCAGGACAGGGGGCCCTCGCCAAACAAACTTCCCCTTGACTTGATTGCGAGCCATTTGGCTCCCAGGCCGACAAAATCTGAGCCAAAAGGTTGCTGCCCATCACCTGCTCGCTCTCCGGGCCTCGCATAAGATGCGAGATTGTAGCAAGGACATAGCAGGCCACAGCACATAGCCTATAGCGCATAGCACTATCATAGCACCCAAGATCATGCAATGATAAGCACAAGGTCAGCTCGCCCCAATTCCCCGATGATGCCAAGCGATGGCACGGGCTTCCCGCCTCGGGGCCACGCTGCGGTCTTTCTTGCCGATCCCTTCGCCCCGGCTCCGCAGCTCCTACGAGGCTTTCAGGGCACGGATTTCAATACATTCAGCACATGGCAGAGGGTACCTTTTATTAAAGTGGTTTGAGAGAAGGTTGGGGGCACGCTCTTTTGTGTTGCTTCTGAAGGTGGTCATCGTCGGTGCTGGGAGCGCCGGTGCCCACCTGGCCTACCGCCTTTCCGAGAACCCCGACTGCAACGTCCTGCTCCTGGAGGCTGGGCGTCAAGCGACTTGGCTTAAAAGTGCCCAATGACCTATTTGTCCCTCAATAAGTGCAGGAATGCCGGCATGCCCGTCGGCAGAAGAGCATGAAGAACCCCCCTAGGAATGGATTGCCTAGGATAACTCCCTCTTTGTGCACGTGCCCGTCTGCTACTTCAAGGCGATCGGAAGCTCTCTCGATTGGAAGTACCAGACAGACCCTAACACTTCGGGACTGAACGGCCGCAGCCTGGCCTGGCCACGGGGCAAGGTCTTGGGGGGATCTTCGTCCCTAAATGGGTTGCTCTACATCCGGGGCCTCAAAACGGACTATGATGCCTGGGCCGAAGCTGGTAACCAGGGCTGGAGCTACGAGGAGCTGCTGCCCCACTTCCGACGTTCCGAGGATGCGCCTTTCGACCACCCCGACAGGGGCAGAAAAGGGCCCATGAGTGTCTGTGAAGGGAGCTACCGCACTGACCTCGCGGAACGGCGGCGTGGCGGCATGCGGCACACGTGTCTATATCCCCCGAGTACATTCCCAATAGCCCCCGAATACATTCGAGCACCAACCTCGACGTCTAACTCCTTGCAATGTCTGGTCACAGGCATTAAGAACCTCGCCTGAGGTGGTCTGATGCCTGCGCGGATGTTTGCGGCGTGCCTCGAGTCCGGGACATGAGCCTGGTGGCCGGCGACACACACTCTCGCGGCGCGGGCGTGGCCTACTTCTCCAACTTCAAGCGGGTTACTCAGCCTCCAGCACGCTTCTGCGATGTTCTTCGGTGTTCTTCTTCAGAAGTGCAGCCAAGTTGGCCTAGCGGCTCCTAGCACAGCCGCGAAGCCGGTAAGCCTGTTGGAGGTTCTTGGCAATAGCCGTAAACTTTGTGGCATTTTGCTACAACTTGCAGCAAAATTCTTGCAGCGTCAGCAGTGCTCGTGTGCCTGTTGCCAGTGAAGTTCAGTGAAGCTTGGGTTGCCGAGAAGTCAACAAGGCAGCAAGGAGAGGGTCTCCCGCCCACACGAAGATTGGTTTTGCCCATGGGCTTGAGTCAAGAAGGCAGCAAAGAAGCGTTCCAAACCGGAAGGATTTTACGCAGGGGATCCCGGAAGGTCCAGGGGTTTCGGCTCACGGGAACCAAGCCACTTCTTGCACGATTTTGACGCCGTGAGCGGGTCCCACCATCCAGCGTCGGCCTGCGGCTTTCACAGGAAGGAGGAGGGTGGGGTTGGTAATGGGCTGGTAAGGGGGGACGAGTTTGTTCCAGGCGCCAGGTTGAGGCGATTTGTGACGGCTTTGACAATCTTAGGACACCTGGTGGTTTCCGGTGCTCCAGCGCACTGCCGTTGCACGAAGTTCGGCTCCAGCGACCCAATCTTCACATTCTTTGCAATGCTCAGGCCTGAGAAAGCGAGTTGTGATGGAAACTTTCCCTCCCGCAGATCTTTGCCCCCTCTCCTTGCGTAATCGGGGATATCCGGCACCCGAACAGGGAAGAAAGTGCGGGGTCCGGCCTCTCAAGCCGGGCGGTTTGGGTTGGATATGGGCACGTACCAATGCAGCGCAGTTCTTGGAGAAGGAGCTGCTCGGAGGGGCGGGGTAGTCGTTCCGAACACCAGACACGCACGCAGACTCACTCCCTCACTCACTCATACTCACACTCACACTCACACTCACACACACACCCACACACACACACTCACTCACACACACACACACACTCACACACACACACACTCTCTCACAGACACTCACACTCACACACACACACTCACACACACACACACACACACACACACACACACACCCACACACACACACCCACACACACACACACACACACACACACACACGCACACACACCCACGCACACACACCCACGCACACACACCCACGCACACACACACACACACACACACCCACGCACACACACACACACACACACACACCGTCAGCTAGATTGACATCCCTGTTGGCACGTTGTAAAGAGATGTGATGGTGTGCCAGGCAGAGCAGCTGATGGTCCAGGGTGGCCGTGTGGTTGGGGTACAGGCCCGTCATGAACGAAATGAGCTGGGCATCAACGCCAAAGAAGTTGTTCTCTGCGCTGGGGCACTGGGTTCACCGCAACTGCTGCTGAAAAGTGGCATCGGGGCTCCAGGCAGACTAGAGAAGGCACAGCTGACCTGCGTCCACGCTTTGCCTGGCGTCGGCGAGAACTTGCAGGACCATCTTCAACTGAGGCAGAGGGTGAATAGCGGCATAGAAGCTAAAGAAACGCGGGAGGGTGTTGAGCAGAGTGAAGAAGATATGAAAGCTTTAGCCGTTTTGTCTGCCGCGAGGCCGAAGTTCCGTGTGCAAGCTCCGACGCTGAACTCACAGGTCGGGGAGTTGGCCCGGCACGTTGCCGTGGGTGGATTCTTGGGCTGGGCGAAAGCAGCCCTGAGCCCTGCAGCCTGGCGCTACGGCTTCGAGTTCCTGGCACACCGCACAGGCCCTGTGTCCATGGCCGCCTCCCAGGTTTGCGCCTTCGTGGCATCCTCCAGGCGAGGCACTGTTTGACAAAGACTGGTCAAGGTCTCTCACATCATCTCACATCGACGTTTTAGAAATACACACATCGGGAAGCCTCAGGAACACGCATGCGTCCGCGGACCCCCCGGACCTGCAGTTCCATTTCCAGCCGCTGAGCACGACAGGCCCATAGTTATCGCATGTCCACTGTCAAGGCTTGATGAAGGGAAGGTGTGTCTTGGCAAGTCAGCGCTTCGAGTGCATGGGACCTCTAACGCCCACGACTGGGGCCGAGGCGAATGTGAAGCATGATGCACAGTGCACACACTACTCTCAGGCACCCCGGCGGCCCCCTTGGCTGCACTGAGCAGAGCAAAGTGTTCGGCTTATTTCAATAAGTTTCGTTCCCTCATCGGACTAGCTTTATCGTTTTTTCATTCGACTGCTACTGTCCTGTGTCTACACCATGTTTTTTTTTGTTGTGAGCTATGCAAAGCATCTGCAACACGATACAAAGGTGAACTGGGCACAGAGGGCGGGCTGTCATGACAAAAGGTCCGAAGTCATTGGTGTAACACGTCAAACTTGTACGGATGGACAGATTGCGAACGCTAAGGTGTTCTTGGACACATTCGACGCTTTCACGGCTTCGGTGTGCATTCTCAGGCTCGCCATGCGCTGCAACAACCGCGAACGGGAACTACTCCCGGAGAGAACAGAAAGCATGCTTCTCATATCCTTTCATACGAATTGCATTTTTGACAAAGGCCCGAAAGCCGTGGACGTGTGGAGCTGCTCCCTGACCTTTCGCCGCTTTGAAAGAATGAAGAGGGTCTCTTTGCCTGCTGCAATGTTTGCGAAAGTGGGATGCAATGCAATTAGCAAATCACAGCAAAGCCAAGTCGAGTGACCTGGGAGGCTCCGAATCTCCCCGCAGTATCTGTCAACACCTGGAGATGAAGCCCTGGCCGTGCGGAGCTTGCAGCTCGCCCGCGAGGCGCCGGCGCACATCGTCGAAGCAAGCGAAAGCCCTTCCTTCCACAACCGCGACACTTTCGTGACACTGCTTTTCGCACGAGATCTCGCATCATCCTCTGCTTCGTGAGATAGCTGTGACGGAGGCGCTAGTTGGAAGAGTGTGCATCAAAGAGAAGATGTTTGGTACGCCGTTCCAGTATACGCACTGGTCTCAGGTGGACATGCCAGAGAGCTTCTCGATTCAATATGCCCGGAGCATTGCCGAGACCATCTATCATCCGGTGCTCCCCTCGGGCTTAGAGAAGAAAATCTTTCAGGAAGTTAGAGGAAAAGTCCTTTCGAAGAAAACGAAGAGCCTTCTTGGATCAGAGGATATCGGAGGTTTTCTTTCGCGGTTGATTTCAGGCCGGCACCTGCAAGATGGGACCCAGCAGTGATCCCACGGCAGTGGTGGACCCAAAGCTGCGCCTGTCCGCGCCCCTGAGACCACCGTGCTTACCGTGTGCACTTCACTGGCCAACTACTGGTAACGTACTTCTGCCAACTTCTATGCGATTGAAAACCCAGAACCCTTCCCCCAAAAAGCACTGCACACCCCAAAAGGACTGCACACACTCTGCACCACACAAGTTCTTGCCCCCAGTCAGGCACGGCTTGGATGGGCTGCGCGTTGTGGATTGCTCGATCATGCCCACCATCACATCGGGCAATACCCATGCAGTGGCCTCAGCAAAACGCAGTTAGACTGCCACCAAAGGCCCCTGTTGGGCAGCTTCGCTGCGAATGAACCCTGAGCTGAGGTGCCCACGGTGCCTTGGCTTCTGGCAAGAAATGTTGCCAAAGTGTTTGCACGTCACACCTTCAAGCCAATCCAAGGTGATGATCGCTGAGAAAGCCTCGCAGATGATGAGCCACTGAGTGTGAACCGCTCAAAGACAGCCATCTTGCGAGCGCAGAAAAAATGACTGGCCCCCCTGCCTAGCTGGCATAGCGTGGTTACGAGACCGAGCAGAGGCGAGCTTGAAGGCTCTGCTTGTTTGGGGTCCGAATACCATGCTGGCTCTGCAAGACTCTGCAAGCATCTCCCGAAGGAAGCAGCACAAGCTCCCGCTACTCCCAGGAGAGCACGGGCCAAGATTCAATGAAGCCATCTTAAAATGTTTGACAGTTTGAGCGCGGCAGGCTGCCTGAGCTGCGCCCTTTGGAGCAGAGCCCAGGCATGGAGCTCAGTCTTGCAAGCGACAATGTAGCCTTTAGCCACCGCAATGAAGCCACTGGCAACGATGGTGCTCACCCTTGGAATTCTTTTGGGCCAACGGTCAAGGGGCCACACGTTTGGGGCCTGCGCCTTCCTGTGTGCTGTCTACATATCTGCCGTAGCTGTGTGACGGGTTCTCCCATATAGAATTAACGCAGGTCTTTGACTCACATTTTATCATGGCCGATGTTGTTGGCCTCTAGTTTCGGATTTTGTTGGCCTCTAGTTTCGGATTATACATACACATGTTCGTCATATCTAGTCATATGTGTACATCATCGTTATATCAAAGTGGAACAAGGATACATACACTCATGTAGTCGACATACCCCTTCAAGACCATATTTAGGTTTGTCCACACCTTACGGCAAACACCTCCCGCAACCTAATTTACTGCTTGCAGCCGGTGAAAGGGATGCCCGAGAAACTCTACAGGAAATACATGGTTTCCGATTGAAATCTAGACGAAAAGGAGGCATTACAGTGAAGAAAAAGAAGATTTTTTCTCGGCGGTTGGGTACCCTAAGTTTTAATTTCCATTGCCCCATACACCCGGGGAATCCCGGGCATAGTGGTCCATGTCAGCATCCGCAGCTTAAGGGCTGAAACCTCGTGTAGCGTACTCTCTTCCCCCCCCCCCTGCATGTACCCCCCCCTTTGTGCTCACAGGGCAAGAGCCCCGTTTGTGGCATCGGATCGCAGCCGGTCTCTTGACTAACTCTGTGTGTACTTCCCCCGATGTATACTCCCCACATGGGCCCGTAGCCGGCTGCAAAGCCACAAACAGATCGGACACAAATGGCAAGCTACCCTCCGCGCACACACGCACACGCACGCACGCACGCACACCCACCCACCCACCCACCCGCACCCGCACACGCACACGCACACCCACACGCACACGCACACGCACACACGCACACACGCACACACGCACACACGCACACACGCACACACGCACACACGCACACACGCACACACGCACACACGCACACACGCACATGCACACTCCAGGATACTAAGTTTCTTAGCAAAAAAGGGTGAACTGCAAGTCCCCCAAAATCCGCGGATCTCGGGGCTTAGTCTTAGTGGTTTCACTGTACAATCTCGAGGAATACAGGGTGTTAGGAGGCCAGCGAGGAAAACCCCAGCGAGGAAAAGGGCGAGGAAAACATGGAAGGAAGTTCGAAGGCCGACAAAGCCGTGTTTCACTGCAGCGAGGGCGAAACCCTATGAAGCGATAGCTCCAATATGCAAAGAAGGAAAACAACAAATAAATGAAAAAGAAGGTTTCTGAAAACAGCCACTCCTCACTTGTGTGTCGTGTGATTGGGCAGGCACATCCGTCAGCCGCACACGGCAAAGCATGTCGTCAGGGGATGCCAAGGCCTCAGTGGGACTATGAACCTCAACCTGAGCCACGTTCCTCCCCATTTCCTCCCCCAAGCTGAACCGAATGCGCACACTGGACAAGTTGAGGTTGACGCCCTGTTGGCAGGGCTCAGCAACGAGGAAGAATCAACAGAGGTGGGCGGCAAACGCGGTTTGAAGATTATGCAAAGAATCCACCCAAAGCCTTCTTAAGCAGGACGATTTGAGAACGTCGTTTTCGGCTGTTTTTGTCATGCCTTGTCCTACCCAACTCATCAGTGCTCATCAGTGCCTCTCTGCAGGAGGAAGAGGTCAGTGGCGATTGGGTGTGAGCTTGGATCAAAGTATTTTTGCATCCCATGCAGAAATGAGGCGAAAGGAGAGAGATATTGTAATGCGGAGGGGTTCCGATATTATTTTGAGAAGATTTTGATATTCCCAGATATGAATGAGCTATAAGTATCCTGTTCGACAGTCGCTGAATATATGAGTTTGGGAATATTTGTGTTTTTGATTGATACTTCTCGATTAAGATATCGTTCGCATCATTAATTTGATCGCCCGCCAGCTGTTCAAGGGGGTTCGGCCTCACGATCACATATCAGCAACAGCTCTCGAAAAATCCTAGGAATTTAAAATTCCGGGAATTTTCGGGATCCCCTGGGTTCAGGGTTTTACGCTTTACGGTGTAGGGTTTTGGGGTTTAATAGAAATTGTATAGGGTTTGTGTCCGGAGTTTTGTCGTATTTTGGGGGGGTTTTGTTTTTTGCTTTTGCTGTAATGGTTTGGGTTCTGTCGGGTGTGGAGCGGGGGTGGGTGGTTTTGGGGTGCTGAGGGCTTGGGGTTGAAAGGCTGGGGTTTTGGGGGGTTTTCCCGAATGCCCGTGGTGGTGGTCCGTGATCCCGTGGTGGTTCGTCGTGGTGGTCCCACAGCGTGGTGGTGGTCCCGTGGTGGTGGCGCTCCTTTGGTAGTGGTGGTCTGTCGTGGTGGTGGCGGTGTCCGTGGTGGTGGTGGTGGTGGTGGTCCCTGGTGGCCGTGGTGGTGGTCTCGTGGTGGTGGTCCCATGGTGGTGGCCGGGTGGCGGTGGTCCGCGGTGGTGGTCTCCTGGTGGTGGTTCCGTGGTGGTGGTCCCGTGGTGGTTGTCTCGTGGTGGTGGTCCCGTGGTGGTGGTCCCGTGGTGGTGGTCCGCGGCGGTGGTCCGTGGTGGTTGGTCCGTGGTGGTGGTCCGTGGCGGGGGTCTGTGCGGGTGGTTGTGTTGGTGGTCGTGGTGGTGGTCTCGTGGTGGTGGTCTTGTGGTGGTGGTCTCGTGGTGGTGGTCTCGTGGTGGTGAGCCGTGGTTTATAATATGTCATATTTTGCGATGAATATGATAGTTTTACGGGATCGTAATTTGTTTTTTGCTGTTGTTGTATTGGTTTGGGTTTTGTTGGGTCTGATGGGGGATGAGTGGTTTTGGGATGGGAGGGGCTGGGGTTGGAGGATTGAGGGGCGAGGGCTTGGATTTGGGGTTGTGGTTGAGGGATTGGGATTTGAGGGGTTAGGATTGAGAGGTTGAGGAGGATTTGATTAGGGATTAAATAGGATTTGGGGAGGAATGATTGAAGGGAGGAAATATTGGAGGGAGGGATTTTTGATATAGGCAACTATTGAGAGGTTGGTAAGGGATTATTGTATGGTTATTGAGGAATTATTATTGATTATGAGATTTCTTGAGTTTTTGTGGGATTTATGGGATTTTTATCTCTGGATATAAGGGAAATTTATAATATTTTCTTATGATTTCAATGACATTATATCGGGAGGTCGAGTCCAATGCAAGCGACTTCCAATTCACTTCGGTGCAAGAGACTTATGCTCCCAAAAGCACCAATTCATTACGAAATCTCAAATGAAAATCTGATATTATATTCGATGAAAGGCATTCATTTCGGAAATGAAGGAGGGATTTTAATAAGGAATTTTGTAAATCGAATTATGATATAAGAAGATTATGGATCTCAAGGAAATTTAGGGAGCGGTCAATCGTTCCCATCTTCAACCATCTTTGCGGTCGAGATCCTCTTCCGGTGCAAGCGACTTCTGCGCCCAAAAGCACCAATTACAAGGGGTTTTTTTATCGGAGGATCTGAATTGTCGATTAATTGATATATTAATCTCGACATCTCTTAGTTTTCGGAAAAATTCTTGATTTAAATATCTTCGAATTTCATTGGATGAGGGATTAATAGTTTTTTTCAATATTATTTCATGGACTTCGAGCTTCCATGGCATATGTTATGCCATCTTTGGCCCGCCCAAAAATTTCTCAATCTTCAATCTTAATTACTAATAGGAATTTGGATGATCTTCTTTTCAGGAATATCTGGATCATTGGAATTTCGGTTTATAGAGGGTCTTCTATAGGGCCATCCAAGCCCAATGTCTTGATATCATCGCATTCTTCTTGGATCTATATGAATGATTCATGAAGTTTGCCTTTCATTCGAATTCTTTGTAGGATGTCCCTCGCGCAGGATCATGGATCGGACCTATTTCCTGAATACGATGGATATTATTGGAGGAGATTGAAATCATATTTCGTTTCATCAGAATATTTTTTGAATCGGAGGTTCGTCTGATTTTTGATTCTTTGTATTTAGGAATCTTCGATTCTTCTTATTCCTTCTTCGTCTTTATGGGATGACTTATAATTGGGGGTGATGACGGATTTTTAAGCATGTCGAGGCGTCTTGGAAAATTCGAAGTTCTTCTTATTCTCATGGATGAGGATTCCCTTTCATGTGTTTGGGCGTATATAACGCCTGGATGATGAATTTCATTTATAGCATCACATGAATTAATGAGTACGGGGACGTTGGGGACTCAGATCCGCCTTCGTGGAGTTGCTGCCCAAGGGGCATCCGCATGGGTTCAGACCATTCCTTCTTCAACTAAAGATACGATTTTCTCGAATGCTGCATTTTCTGATGTTGTAGGTCTGCGGCTGGGGGTATCGTTCTTTGCTGAGGGAGTTGCTTGTTCGTTCTGCGGTCAAGCAATGGATGAGTATGGTCATCACATTCTTGGATGTCTCCGACAAGGAAGTAAATACGGTATTCATAACTCCTTGAGAAATACGATCCATCGTTACGCGAATTTGGCTGCCCTCCAGTCAAAATTGGAACCCACAGGATTGTTGTCTGATGATCCCCAGGCACGACCTGCTGATACGCTATTGGTTGGTCCACCTGGAGTTCGCCAGAATTCTTGGCGCAAATTCCCTCGCATAGCCGTCGATGTTGCTGTCACA